AACAATAATTTTAAAGTCGCCAAGCCAAAATTAGCAAGTTTTAAGTCAAGTCACAAGTCTCAGGGCAAAACCCAAGTCATACCAACAGTCATGTGTGACAGTGATATTTATGTGTGTAATGCACTGTTACACCAAGGCAACCCCTCATTTATTCTATCTGACCAAATATCAAGTGTTAGGGTAATGGTTGCAGCTTGACATAAATTTTCAGTTAATTTTTCCTTTGCATTCGTATACATTTTCTCTAAATAGATTTTTACAGCAAAACGGTTTCTAGTTGAGTACTGAGAATCAAGAACGTTATTGTATCACCTAAAATGTTCGCTTTCTACTATAGACACGGGTAGTGATGCACTAACTACTAGATGTTTCACAACGGCTGCCAAAATTCTTTGTTGCTTGGGGTGGGTGCGGCCATATGTTATCATAGAACTCTCTCCCAAAGCAACTACAAATAATAAATGCAATATCATTCTCATTTTTTATTCTATGAAGTAATAGTCCTAAATGCCATGCTTTATAAACTAAGTTTAAAGCTTTATTTAAAAACTTAGGATTAAGTGGTCAGATGTAATGTGACACTGCAACATATTGCTGTACAAGCTAATAAGAACTATAAGAACTGTTATGGAATGTCAGACCTCTAGTAGACTACTAGTCTACTAGAGGTAGAAGATTACCGCGGACATAGAACAGACTCAAGTGTTTAATATATTTTAAGTAACTAATAAAATAAAAACAAATTAGTATAAGTAAATAACCTGCTCGAAAGTCTGAAATCTTAGATTGGCCTGGTGTAGCAGCCGTTGGTCTTGTCTGAATAAACTTTTAATATAATGCATATTTAATTAAAGCTTGACAAAATTTACATTTTGTCGATCTAGTTGTTGTTTTTTTTCTCTAACTCAGTATAACTAAAATTAACAATTCCAGGCACTGCAGGCGTTTTTTGAATTTTTATAGCACTCATAGTTTTAAGATAACTTATGAAACTTTACAAATTGCTGATATTAGTACTTAGCAAACATTTAGTCTAAAAAATGACGTCTTAAATATGTCTTTTAAACGTCTTTGACATTTTTTATATATCTAAAAGACTTCTTTTTTAGACTAAATGTTTGCTGGGTAGCAAACACAATTTTAAATACTTAAAATTAGAAAAGCAGTGCAAAGACTTCTGGAATGGCGGACGCTTTTTTATAATGAATTTTATAAATAAATTACATGAAAAAATAATAATAAAAGATAATTTTAAAAGTAAAAATAAATAAAAGAAAAAAGAAGATTGTTATAAAAAGAAAAAGAAAGAATTAAAAAAGAATTTAAATAAGAAATTAAAATCACCAAAAATTTATAAACATTAAGTTTCATGAGTTAAAGAAAAAATGAACCAGTCAGAACGCACACAAAAAAGTTGGAATTATTTAGTAAACAAAAGATCCTAAATGCGATATTTTTCTTTGGATCTTAGACTACAAACCAGTTAAAAGAAAAACAAATTCAAAAATAAAAAATAATTAAAAAACAGTTGAGTTAAAATAGAAAATAAATTGCTCCATTTTTGAAAAGACGGTAAACAATAATTTTAAAGTCGCCAAGCCAAAATTAGCAAGTTTTAAGTCAAGTCACAAGTCTCAGGGCAAAACCCAAGTTGAGTCTTGAGTTGAGTCAAGCTTTTTCGGTAGCTAGTTTAATCTGCACCAGAATTCGGTCAAGGATGGGAGATAATTTGCTTAACAATCTATATTTTCTGAGGTTGTATATCAACAACCAACTGCAGAAAAAGTAGAATCTTTTTTTTTTTTTTTTTTTTTATTATTATTCACTTCCCCAAGGCCCGAGGGGGCCACTACAGTTGAGGAGGCTACTCTTTTTTTTTTTTTTTTTTTTTTTTTTTTTCTTTGTTGTAAATCGTGGTACAACCCTCTCTCAACTCTCTCAACTCTTTAACTCCAAAACACGAACCTTGACAAGCAAGGCCGCTGCGCATAGTTAAACCTTAGAGAAGTTAAGTTAAACCTTAAAAATTTATGTTTTTTTCCTTTTCTTATGATTAATATATAACTAACATTTTATTGAATTTTATTTTTCTTTTTTTTATTCTCTAAATAAGTTGATATAGTTTTTTTTAAATGCTAAACCATTTTTTAATTGTATTATTTATTCATTTGTATTATTATAGGAAAAATAATAATACCGGTAGTAATACCAGAATACCGGGATTAGACCGAAATACCGGTATTTGATTTTTAGTCCGTTATTCCCAACCCTAAAACCAATACATAAATAACTAAAAAATTAAGTGTACAATTTCTTCCTTTAAAGAATAAAAAGTAAAAATTTTCAGAAAAAACTCATTAGATCAGAATTTAAAATGTGCTTTTTTGCTTGAAACTTGAATGAGTTTAATAATTTTACTATACCTTTTTTAGCTTTTTTTGAAAATAACTCCATATCTTAGGTTATTTATTTTCTAAGGCAATTAAAAGAAATTCGATTGATTTGTTCTTATGAAATACTTTTCATTTATATTTTTTCAAACATATAATAAAATTAGCTAGAGTGAGATTATTTGTTTATTTATACATAATTTATACATATTTATAATAAAGTGTTGATGATTATTTATTTCATAAACACTCATCATTTTCATGTCTCTCATTAAGATTTTTGTGTGCTCCCCTCGTTTATTCCCATATATAATTCTACAAGCATGTTTTTGAACACTTCAGTGTATATAATAGTGTATGAATCTTTTTAAGTTTTGTAACTTGTGTGCTAACCCATGTAATATTGGCTATGTAATATTGTGCTTACCCCATGTAATATTAAAAATATTTAAAATATTTTTGTGTGCTACCCCATGTAATATTGGCATTATGAAAAGTTGAGTCTTAAACTAGAACTTGAATATTTGTTGTCATGGATGTTTGTTGGAAGTAAATTTGTTTTTAAAAAAATGGCATATAACAATGAAAATGTTTATTTGGTTTAAAATTAAATACAAAAAGGTGAGACAGGTAATCACAAGATTACGGTTACCTAACACCACTAATATAAAAATAGATATAGATAGTTACAATACAAATTAATACTGTACACAATTGCATTGTAAATCATAATTATTTAACTTTCTTTTGAACATTAATAAAGAAGGAAAATCAACAATGTGAGCTAGTAAGGAATTCCATAATTTTACAGTTCTTTTGCTGAAGAAGAATTTATAACAATCAATCTAGTATTGTAGTTAAAGTTGGAAAAGAGATTGAAAAGAGAAAAGAGAAAAAAGGTGAGTCAAAGAGATTGTGTATACTATAAAAAGTTCTATATACAATGTTGTATACTATAACAAGATCAAATTTAACTCTACGGTATTCAAGAGAATCAAGATTTAAAAGAATTAGTCTTGATAGGTAATCAGAATAAGAAATATGGCATTTTTTACAGGTAATTCTGCTGAAATATCTCTGAACAATACAACTTTTCGATACAACGAATATTTTTTAGAAGATAAAGGCTCCACTCTGGGGTACAAGACTTTAAAATAGGCCGCACATAGACTTAGTAGGCTTTTACTAAGAGATGAGGATTGTTACTGATAAAAATTTTAAAAAGTAGATAAAGACAAGAGTAGGTTTTTTTGGCAATACAAGAACAATGCTTGGAGAATTTTGTATCAGATGATACAGTAATACCAATACCATCAATACATTTAACAGTGTTTATTGCGGTGTTGGGACAAAATGAATACGAGTGAACAGGTAAAGAACACTTCTCAAAGCGTATGTGGAAACATTTATTGAACGCTATTTTTAGTTGCCAATAAGTTGTCCAAATCGAAAAGTTTTTTAAGAATTTACAAAGTCTGCATTAATCCTTATGCTTTTATCTCTCTTTTGGTATAATTTGATATCATTTGCAAGCATCTTAATTCCACAGTCATCCTCAATAATCAAGATTATATTGTTGATAAATATTTAAAAAAAAAGTGGGAGCCAATATAATAAATACAAAAACTTTAAATCGATTTGCTAACTAAAAGTTGTTAAAAGTTATAAAAAACATTTACCCTGAGATTTTTTGCATGTCAAAAGTCACATCAAATTTGTTGGATAAAAGTGTGTAAGTCACAGAACAGAGAAATTGCCATCAAACATTTTACAACTTCTTTAGTCAGAAAGATGGGCTGTGCTTCTGCAAGAGATCGATCTTTTCTCAACATTATTAATATCACATGTAACCCATGTGAATGTTATCTATTATAGAAAAACCCACGACCTGTCAATTCCAATGACTTACTCTGCACATCTCAAAGAGTGCTAAACCAGTGTAAAGATGTTGCCTTGAAATATTCTTATGTCATCTACAGATTGGTGATCATTAAAGATTTTAAAATAGTGTCATTTTTCTTGGGTCTTAAAGGCAGTTTTTCAAAATTGTGTTTTTCTTTTACCTCTGTGACATCTGTTACACTAAGGTGGATTATCACAGAAAGAATTGGCCATAATGAGCTAAGTTTTTTGTGGGCAAGAACAATGTGTAGTAGGAGCCACTGATAGAATCTCAGAAAGTGCTTATGCCGCAACTGCACATCAGGTAAGGCCTCATCAAGCAATTAGTCTTTGTTCTGTTCAAAGAGGCACATTTTAAAAGCTTCAAGTTTTTTTTTATTGGTTAGTTTTAAGGAATAAAGATTTTTATTAGCACTAATTGTTTGTTGTTTGTCTTTTTTTTTATTCTTTTCACTATTTGTTTTTTGTTTGTCTTTTTGTTTATTCTATGCACTATTTGATTGTTGTTTGTCCTTTTGTTTATTCTTTGCACTATTTGTTTGTTGTTTGTCTTTTTGTTTATTCTTTTACTTGTACTTGCTGTAGTTTCTTTTTTGCAAATTGTTATAAAATTTTTATTTCTTTAGAAATCTCCAAATACTTCTTTTTTAGACATTAATATTTCTGACAACCAAAAAAATAAAATTAAACTAATTGCTTTTTTTTTAGGGGATAATGTTGTTTTTAATAACGTGACTGATTTGAAATTAAAATGGAATTGGAATAACTTACTGTCAAAAATAAAATATGGAGGTTTTTTTTGTTTGTTTGTTTATTTTTTAGAAATATTTTGTTATGTTAAATTATGTTATTATATTAATGTATATAACGGGTGGTTAATAAAAATCCGGACATACTTGCGAGGCTCGATAATCCCATAGTTTTTAAGCTAGAGATTTTAAAAATATATAATTTGATAGAGTTTTTAGTTATTTATTTAATTTAATTAAGTTTGTCCTCGACCAGTCTGTTTTTTCTGATTTGACCAACTCGAAGATAAGTTGACCAAAAAAGTGAAAATACAAGGTTAAGGTCAATTTTTTTCAGACAAGGCTTTATTCTGGTTTGTAGTTGCTTCACGTTTTTTGCTTGTCAGTTAACCTTATACACTTTGCCTTTCAAAATAGCCTAAAAGTTTTTGATTGGGTGACACTCTGGTACGGTTGACGGATAGTCAACTTTTTTGAAAAAATTGATTTTGTGAGTCTCATAGCAGTTGGCCACAGTTTTGGCATAATGCGATGAGGCCAGGTCCAGCCAAAATACATAATTACCATCGGCATGATGAGCATTGATTAACGGGACTAATTTTCTTTTAATACACTCCATTTTGTAGATGGCTTTATTGACTACAAGGCCGATGGAAATGAAAAATGGCTTGGAAATACCTTTGTCAGAAGAAGCCAGCCAGACAAGCTGCTTGGGTTCAAACTTGTGCTTTTTTCAAAATATAACACTTAGTGGAATCTTGGCTCTGTTGCTAGAGTAGTAGGTGCTGTTTCCGTTTATCATTGAGTATGACAGCGTGAAGTAAGATTCATCGTAAAGGATAACCAATTTTCCTTGAAAATTGCGATAAAGACGATCAATGTTAGTCTTTATTCGCTCAATCTGGCCCTCTTCTCAATCAGGTATACCCTGTTTTGTACAAGTTTTGATGTCAGTGTACTTGGCAAGAGTTTTAGCAATATGTGAATGACTGCATCCAAATTTTCGACCAGCTTGCCTTATCGAAACTTGGTCATTGTGGTCAAATATGGTCAAATATGGTTTTCAGACACTTGATCACTTTCCGGGTCATGATTTTGGCCACACGACCACTTCCTTGCACTCTTTTGTGTTCTCAGAACGTTTGATTATATCATAGATAGTGCTTCTTGAAATTTGTTTAGCATTGAAGTGACCTACTGTGAACTTTTATAATTTATTATTCAAATAGAACTTGTAAATTCCTTTTCTTATCTCTTCTTGCTTGGACATCATTATTATCCTAATTTTTATTAATTATCAAAAAACAAGTAAGTTAACTTATAGAGAATTACATAAGCTTTAAAATGGATATAAGAATGAAAAAAAAAATGTAGCTTATGGCATTTAAAAGTCAGTTAAAGTTAGTCCGGATATTTAGCCACCATCCGTTATAACATATATAAAAAGCTAAATATAAATAAAATTGACGTACATGAAGAATTAAAAAGATGTAGGAAAAAGAAAACTCTAAAATATAAATACTTTTGTTAATTACTTTTTTCAAAATATTAAAACATATTTGTTCCTTTTTTTAGCATTAGAAGGTGCTAATGTTGTTATACTAGTTGATGTTTCTATAAGTGAGGATCTTGGCATCATGCGTAGATTTTTGTTTAATATTATCAAGCTTTTCCAAGAAAGTGTTTCAACATTCACAGTTGTTGGGTACAGCCAGAGTCCTAATCTTGTATTTGGTACTCGTAAATTTAATAGTGATGTTCAAATTAGGCGATCCTTAGAAAAGGTTTTATTTTTGTCTGCTGTTTTTTCATTGACTTTTTTTCATTTTTAACTTTTTTTAACTTTATTTGTATCTTTGAAACACAATATTCATTCACGAGTTTACCCCAAGATTTTTTTTACTTAAGATATTATTGACTAGACATTATTAACGATTGTATCAACTTCTCAACAATAAATAAAATATATAGTATTTTCTATAACTTTTTCATCAATTATTTTTTTTACTAAACTTCACATCGCCTACAGAGAACTTAGCTCGTTGTGGCCAAGAAATATATAGCCAATCAAATATGTTTTCTGAATAAAGTTTTGCTAAAAATAATAACAATAATAGTAGTAGTAATTATGAAAATAATAATATTAGTAATATATTAAAAACAATTATATAACAATAACAATAATAACAATAATAAAAATATTTATTATGATAAAAAATAGTAACAATAATATCAAAAATGATGAAGAGAATACTCATGAAAATATTTCAGGTATCAGGTTAGGATATTTAAATAAGTATTTTACATTTTTAAATTAGTATAAGTTTTTAACTTAGTATTTTACATATATATATATATATATATATATATATATATATATATATATATATATATATATATATATATATATATATATATATATATATATATATATATATACATATATATATATATATATATATATATATATATATATATATATATATATATATATATATATATATATATATATATATATATATATATATACATATATAGCCTATTATTTATATATATATATATATACATATATATATGTATATATATATATACATATATATGTATATATATATATATATAAATTATCAAAAATTATCAATTTTTTTCCTAGAATAGGCTATATGCCTATTCTAGGAAAAAAATTTGGGCAGTGGTAGCCCCTCGTTCCGGCATACTTTAGCGGAAAATCGGCGGTTTTTTCGCAAAAATAACAATATTTGCCGTAAAAAACGTAAAAAAAATGTTCTCAAATTTTAATTTGGGCGGCGGTCGACGCTGTCGAAAACGGTCTATATATATATACATATATATATATATATATATATATATATATATATATATATATATATATATATATATATATATATATATATATATATATATATATATATATATATATATATATATATATATATATATATATATATATATATATATATATATATATATATATATATATATATATATATATATATATATATGAAAGCTTTTATTGTAAAAGTAAAACTATCTAAAGCAAATTTTCTAGATATTTCGGTGAGCATAAATGCAGTTTTTTTGTTATTTTTTTATTTGTATTACAAGTAACAATGACAACTAGGAACCATATTTATTTTAGTTTTTTTTTATTTTATATTGAGACTAATTTATTAGATGCGATAAAAAATAATATGATGTATTTGCTCAAAAAAAATTTTTTTTTTTTTTTTTTTAATGCCGTTTAATCTTTTCATAAAACCGTTTTATCTTATCAGTTTATTTCTTTGTTTAATTCCATCTCGTAAAGAAAAAAAAAATCAGAAACACCAAAATTGTCGAGCGCGGAGATATGGTTTGCGAGCACCAAAATACTGTTTTCTGATATAATAAATATTCTTTATAATAAATTCCTAAAAAATATTCAAACTTATTAAAAATATTAATTATAAATAAATCTAATTTTTTAAATTTTGTAAATTTTTTAGCTAGAAAGCTCATTTGTGAAAAATCAAAATTGCAACATAGGTTCCTCTTTGGCGTACCTTAAAGATGTTGTTTACAAAAAAATCATGCTCTTAACTACTATGAACAGAATTTTTGGTGTTTTAGTGTCCAGATCTTCTTCATCTGATAATATTTTAGAGTACGCTGATTCTATAAAAGGAGCAGGAATTACCATGGTGGCAATAGGTTATAAAAGAATAGTTTAAAATAATTAAAATTAAAACTAATTTATTTCAAGTTTGATCGAAATTTATTGTCTTTATATTTTAACTTACATTTATATATATTGAATATATTTTTATATTGTTTACCTTTGAATACAACGAATTATTATTTTTTTTTTACATTTGTCTGGTTATGTTTTACAAGTTACTATTCCATAGGTATCGGTCAAAAATATAACGAAGAGGAGTTGAAGTTGATTGCAACCAATGGCCAACTTATTATGCATAGTTCCATATCTGCGTTGCCTTCATTAATTTATAACCTTCAGTTTAAGTTAGCAATTGGTAAGAATTTTGTTAACACAATAATAGCTGGTTTCAGTTTAGGAAGTGGTGTAGTGGTAGTGCGCTCGCCTGTTAGCGATAAGTTCCAAGTTCAATCCACACTACGTTGCTACCGGTTTTTGCAATTAATCTGGTGGTTTTTTGCACGAATTTGGTGGGTATTTTCATTTAATCTAGCGTTTTTTTTGCATTTAATCTGGCGGTTTTTTGCATCCAATCTGGCGGTTTTTAAAATTTATATCAATTTTATAATGCATGTTATGAATCGCTTAAATTATTAATGTTCTTCATATTTTAGTTAAAAATAATTTTATATATGTAAAAAATAATTTTATATATGTAAAAAATAGTAAAATCCGATACCATTGAGCAATAATAATAATAATCAATCGCAAATTGGAACTATTTGTCCTCTTGTAGTATTCTTAATTTTCGAGAATGTCTCTTCACAAAGATTTATAAAAGGTGAGTATCGGGTTAAAAAATGAAGGGTTAGCTATCATAAAAGTCTGATAATGAATGATGAAATTAACGTTGTCCATCATCAAGGAAAACTCTTCTTCTTCCCCAAAAATAATTTTAAGTGTATTTAAAAATCCTTTAAAGATATCTGCTGTCACCCCTACGCAAATTATTGCTTCACTGTGGACTATGTTTAAACAATTTAGTGCTAATAACATGGTTATATTATGGTATCTTGATGACAATACACGTTGATTTCGGGTCATTCCTCGGAGACTGTATCCGTGTTTTCTTATCATATGAAGATTGAACGGACTTTCATCAATATTAATGATATTTCTGTAACGTTGATGCAATATCAAGTTTAAGTACCATGAAACATGTTTTTTCTTTCTTCTTTTACCTTTGCAGCATTGCGTCTTTCACTAGTGGGTCTTAAAATTTTATATGTAGATTTTATATCTATGTATATGTTTTATATGTAAATTTTATATGTATGTATATGTTTTTTATGTAAATTTGATATGACCTATAATTCATTTTTTTTTAACCATGACCTTAATGTAGAGACATTAACATCAGTTCCCAATTCTACCTTTATCTCCTGTAGATTATAGTTTCTGTTATTTCCAACTAATTCATGTAGCTTATTTCTTATTTTTTCAGTATAACCTGACTGTTGAAAACCACCTGTAATACCAGGATTGATATTACATGTTAATATATATCGATGGACTAGGCGTCGTGTTGAAGTCTCTTCTATACACGAGTTCCGATCCTTTTGTTACACTCTTTCCTTCGTTAATTACAAGATTAATATCACTTCTTTGTGCGTTATTCATTTTAGAGTTTTAAAAATTAAAGAGAAAACGGGCAATTTTTAATAAAAATTGTTTATAAGGAAGTTAAATTAAATTAAGCAATGAAAGCAAAACTAATTATCTTAATAATGAAAAACCACCAGATTAAATGCAAAAACCGGTATCAGTTTTAGGTAATGTATCAAATTTGTTTTTCCGCGCAGCGGTCATGTTCATCAAGTCTGTTTTGGAGGCAAAATGACGTAAAATCATTTCAATTATGCATCTAAACTTGTATTTTATTTTTACAAGATTTTTTTACTTATAAAATTGCGTTAATGCAATGATTGAATGAACCACAACATTTTTTTTGTATACATTAATCCACGTCATCCGTTAGATTTGATTATTTTCGATTGAAAAACATTAAAAAACCCTAGTTGATTGGTATAATGCTTAGTCATTTACTAAAATACTAATTTGTCAAAATCTCAAAAATATAAAAAATTAAATTTTGAAACTTATATGAGGCAAAATCAAAAATATTTTAGAATTCTTACTCTCGTATTAACTCGGATTTTTTTATGTTATAGTAAAAGTATTTTTTATAACAAATTTGAATTTATAAATCCAATCTAATATTAGATTGGATTATATAATATAAAAAGTATTATAATACTTTTTACAAAACATACTTAAAACTATTTAATTCTCAAATGCACATTTTCCAACGGCTGTTTTATCATTTTTTTAATAAGATTTATAATAGTGATATAATTTTTAAACATAAATGAGAAATTAACCAAAAGCTCATTTTCGACAAATCGAGATTTACTTGGTTGACGTTTACACTGACAGTTTTTGTTTTTATCAGTGACTGAAATTATTTTTTAAACGATAGACTGATTTTTACTGATTTTTTTTTTTTTTTTTAGTTTTAAGATATAAAGTTTTTATTGATAACAAGTAAATATTAACAAACGGAGACGCTCTTAATAAGCTTGGGGTGGTTGGGGAAAAAACGTCCTTTCCACCTTCTAACCCCCTCCCCCCCCTCCCCCATTTATTTATTAAGGACGAGATTAGATGTATAAATTACATTTTTTTTTTTTTTTACATATGTAAATAGGGTTGCCAGATGTCCGGCTTTTACGAAGCTAAAAACAGGTTTTACAGGTTTGGTACTGTATTCTGTAAAAGCCGGACATCTGGCAACTTTATATATAAATCTTTTTTTAAAAACTTTGTTAGAAAAAAACTATATTTAATATAATTAATTTATGTAAAAAATTTTATTTAATGAAGAAAAATGCTTTGATTTTATTTTTCTTTCAGCAATGAACATACCAAAAAATTTAACAACTATTAATCAAGCGACGCTTGTTAGAAGTGTTGAACAAAAATTTGCTTTACTAAACTAAACGAATTTTAGTCGTTTCCGTTAATGATAGATGATGATTACATGTTTTCCATGGAAACATTGTTTGGCAAAAAAACGAATTGCGAACTATGGAATTAAATTAATTTCGATTAAATTTGAAATTAAATATCGTGATTTTTATAATTATGTAAATATTGCTTATGTAAAATATTTATCAATATTTTTTTATAATTTATGCTTTATATCCTCTCACATCACATGCAGCAAAATTAACCCAGCCGTTTTTTTTTTTTTAATATTAGAAATATATTTACTCTGTATATTTTCTTTAATTCTTCAAACACTCGTACAAAACGTTAAGTTCAAATATGTGATTCAAAGTTAGCAAAAAGCTTATGTAATAAGTTAATCCAATATCTCATTGGTAAATTAAAATGAAACTAGGAAGTATTATTACAGTATCGTGTCACCTTTCAGCTTTCAAAAAAAAAATTTTTGCAATTTTTTTATATCTAACTTTTACATTTAAACTGTGTAACATTAGAGTACTCATTTAAATATATGACAATATGTAACAATGGAGTACCCATTGTATGCGATAATGGAGTACGGCATTTTTTTTGTCACCTAAGTTTATCAAATAGGTTTGGGAAAAAAAATTATAAATATTTTAATTATGTGAAACGTTTTTTCACGAATTATTGAAGGCATCATGTCTAGTCAATTTAAATGCAATCTTATTTCAAATCTATTTGTTAGTTTTGATTTTATTGCAAATAAGTATTTAATTAGTGAAAGTTATTCTTTAAAATTTTTTTGAGACGTTTTTTCCATAAATACGTTTATTTACATTTTATAACAAGTAAATGTTTTAACTTCTATTAGCTTCTTTTAACTTCTTTTTTAAGGTGCTTCTAGCGCATTAAAAAAGATTATAAGAATTGGATTTTAATTTAAAAAATCTTTGTTTTTATAACCATATTCGTTTTACGTCAGGACTTGGCAACTTGAAGAAGCCATTTTTTTAAATTACTTGTCCAAATTTTTCTTTACGCCGTTATGACACTTCACCTAACCTAGTCAGCTAGCTATTTACAGGTCATCTATAAAAAGCTCGTTTATATAACTTTGATATATAGTAATGTTTTAATAACAAGCAGTTTTAAGTACAATTAATAAAGTTGAAGTTAATAAAAAGCAGTTTTAAGTACAATTAATAAAGTTGAAGTTAATAACAAGCAGTTTTAAGTACAATTAATAAAGTTGAAGTTAATAAAGCATATGACATGTATCTTGACAAGCTTCAAAAAGTTTATGACAAAGTTTTTCCGGAGACTCCGAAATTTGTCAAAACAAAAACGCTATTAAATCTTTGGATAACTAAGGGTATTCTAAAATTGTCCAAAAAAAAACAGCGGTTATATAATAAACTTATCAAAAAAATAACACTTGAAAATGAAACCAAGTATAAAAATTATAACCGTCTTTTTGAATCAATTTTAAGACGTTCTAAAAAATATTATTGTTATGAACAGTTAAGTAAACACAAAAATAAAACACATAACATTGGTCATAACATTCTTCTAGCTAAACTAAAACATAATGGCATACAAAACTCAAACATTGATTGGTTCAAAAGTTACTTAACAAATAGAAAATAATATATATCGTATAACAAAGGAAAATCAAAATACATGACAGTCACATGCGGTGTTCCTTAAGGATCAATACTCGGACCACTGCTCTTGCTTTTTTATATAAACGACTTATATATACGTTTTCTAATATTTTAACTACCATTTTTTTCGCCGATGACACAAACTTGTTTTACTCTAACCGTAACATCGACTTATTATTTGAAACAGTCAATAAGGAACTCACAAATTTAACTGAATGGTTCAAGTCGAACAGACTATCCTTAAATATAAGTAAAACCAAGTACACTCTTTATCGTAGACTTCACGAAAAAAAATATATTCCATTAAAACTTCACGATGTATATATAATTCTAATATAAAAAGAGAGCACTCGTTTATTCTCGACGAAAACCTTTCGGCGCGAGAATTGAGTATAATAGAAATGAAAATATTGAAAAATATTGGTTTATTATATAAGCTAAAAGATATTTATACTAAGACTGTTTAAAAAACACATAATTTTCTTTTATTGACAGCTATCTTAATTATGGGAACATTGTTTGGTGCAGCACTAAACTCAACTAAAATAAAAAAGTTACTCAGTAGACAAAAACATGCTTTACGAATTATTTCAAACGTAAATAGTTTAACGCCCTCAAAAGGTTTTTTGATAGACTAAGTATACTCAATCTTTATCAACTAAACATTTATCAGATACTTACATTTATGTACAAAATTGATAATAAAATGACACCTGTAATATTTAACACCCTTTTTAACAAAATAAATCATTTTTTACTCCTACTATATTTTCAAATCAGAACTACATTTCAGGCCCGTAGCAACCGGGGGGTGGGGGCAGCAAGAGGAATTTGTCCCCCCAATAAATTTTCAAATAAATAATTTTGAAGAAACTCACTAAAAAAATGACTAAAAAAAAAAAGGTTCTTAAAACTATTTCGAGGTAGTACTTTCCCCTCCCCTCTCCCCTCTAATATTAATTTTGCTCCTACGGGCCTGCATTCAACCCAAAGCCTATTATACGACTACTAAATTCTCTATTACAAATAGAAGACCCAAACCAGGGTTAGGGTTAGGTTTAGGTTAAACCCTTACCCTAACCCTGACGGTGGAATAACCACAGATATCACAATCCTTTATAACTTTGTAGTATTCCTTGAGTAATTCATTTATTGTGGAGATATTTTGGTATTGAATAAACCTTCTTGACTCCAAATAAAATAAGTTTTATATCTTTCAAAATTAAATTGACCAATCAAGTAAACATTTTCGAAGTAACCATGTTTTATCGGTACCAGCTATTTCTGAAATTAAAATCAAAGATGTTTCTTTTTTAAACACTTCATTATACGAAATTGGTTTATAACTTGATTGCTTCTTTAGCAACTGTTCTTTATTATCAATATAAACAGCACCCAATTGTAGTTCAACAGCATCAACAAAACGCAGCTGAACAAATTCATTTAAAATGCTAACTGAATCTGGTGCTGTTGATGATGGTCGTAGCTCATCAATTTTCTCATAATGCTTAAGATAAAACTTTTTCAGTGATGAACTCAAATCCATTAGTAACATGTCTAAAGAGATAAATATGAATTTTTCAATTTTAGAAACAGAAAATAATTAAATAAAGTAATTATACTTTATTATTATTATTAAGTAATGTTAGGGTTATGAATTTTTGACTTTTTAAAAAAAAATTAATTTCCGGTGTCATAAAACGATGAACTTTTATTAGAAACATTGAAAACATGTTCAATTTCTCTAAGTTATAAAAAAAAGGTCACCCCGCAATTCAATTACATTTCGTCATTTATTTAATCTTGTTACTGCTACTACTAATACGTGTGGCTTTCCTGCAAATTATTTAAAACTTGTATAAATTAGAACCCGCTGGGAAATCGGCTAGCGAATAGCTAGCTATAATCGTTACGATAAAGACAGCGATTTGGCCACGAGGATTGCTAGCATTTTTAAGTTAGCGAAAAGCTATCGATATTTTTAAAGATAAAGACAGCAATTTTGCTACGAGGACAGCTAGCTTAATAAACTGAAGATCCACTGGCTATTGTACCTAGCGTCATATTGTAATAAAATCGTTGTCTAAAAGATTTTGATATGTAGCTATCAACCAGCAATAGATTTGTCGATATTTTGTAACTAGCTACAAAGCAACGATATGTAGCTAGCGACACATTGCTACAAAATTGCAATGTTTAAAGTTCAATTATTTTCATGATTATAATAGACTCACCACTAAAAATCGAATTTTTAAAGATGTTAAAGACATTTGCAAAAAATAAAATAAGAAAAAAAAAATCGCTTGAAAATTGCTATAGAGCTAACTAGTCGTAAGCTCATTTCCCACAAGGAAGTGATTAGAACTTTACAACATTTTGGAAAATAACAGAATATTTTAGAAGACTTTAGAACATTCTAGAACAATTTAAAACATTCAGGAACAATTTAGAACATTCTAGAACAATTTAAAATATTTTGGAACATTCTAGAACAGTTTAAAACATTCTGGAATAATCTAGAACATTTTAGACTATATATAGCTGCTCATCTAATTTTATAGTTATTACAGAAGTAACAAATAGCATCGTACAACCCTAGCAATAGTAGCATTCAGAAGAACAAGGATGTCTGGACCAATAACCTGGTAAAATTTGGAGGCTCTCATAAAAGAAGAATGGTCCCTTTGGAAGAATATTCTCTGGAAGAAAAGTGCAGAATGCCACTCCAAAAACAAATTATCGGACGCTACCATTTCTTTGGACCAAAAATCAAAGGTAGAAATGAGTGAATAGCGGAATTTTCCAAAGAAGTCACCAAATTGTGGAAGAATAAATTAAATTTTTCTCATGTATCGTATCTAGTTATACAAGCAAAGCTTGTTAAAATACTGAAATGTTATGATGAATGTATCAAGCGAGGAAGTTACGAGCCCCTTGATGAAATTGTTGATATTACTGAATTGGATGGAACATGGTTATCTTCCGAGAACAAGTAATTATCATTTTCAATTTCCAAGTTTAATAATCTTCCGAGAACAAGTAATTACCATTACCAATTTCCAAGTGGAAAGCAAAAAAATAGTGGGATACTCCAGGCCAAGCAGCCAGTAAAGAAACAATCCATCCCTCTAAAAGAAAAAAACTTTCTAATGTGTCATCCAACTCATCATCTTACCATCCTGGTTTTAGTGATTCTGACTCTGAGGCTGACAACAATGGATATGAAAACAATAAAAAAGATGAGGCAACTCCTACACCAAGCAGAAAACATCTTAAAAGCATAATTGCAGTTAACTTGGTGACCTCCACAAGACATTTTTTATTTTTTATAATTCATAATATGCATTTAATACGTTTTTCAGGGTTGTTTAAATTGAAAATAAATTCTTATGTCTAGTGATTGCAAAATATGACTTTGAATAAGTAACTTGAATAATTTTGGTAAGCAGACGAATCAGACGTTGTTATCTTTTCATATTTCGACTACTGTCAATAATACATGAGGGCTGATAAAATTTAATATCAAAATGTAATCTCCTTCAATTATTGTAACTACCGTTATACACACTCCCAAGCATTATTTGTTAATTTAAATATAATGAATGTTTATCAATTAAATGTCTTTCAAATTCTTACATTTAT